TTACAACTTCCAATTGTTTTATACTTGTTAGTACAATAGGTTTAAAATATAATGTTGTCTTGTTAACGAATTTACAGATAACTCATTTTCAATAGAAATATTGGAAGTGCTTATATTCCAATTTTACTAGCGTCCTAGAGAGAAAAGCATAATATAGTGTTTTTTATTCCATCTGCGTTGTCACACCTCCATCGCTTTTATGTAATATTCTACACGCTTCTTCTAACAAGGAGAGTGCAACGAAGCCAGATGAGTATGCTGACGAACGTGTACATTCCAAATTTCCTGTCTCAAAGTCAATGGACTGTCGGTGGGGTGGAACGCCTTAGCTACTGAATGTGAATGCTTAGAGGTGGACTGCAATGGTTGGTCTTATTCGTGGCTTCCTCTGATTAACGCCATCCATAGGCTGGAGCAGATCCTAAAACAACGGGCCACACTGCAATTATTCCTTCCCCATGTTTTTCCCACTTCTTATCCTTAAATATTAGGTGATGAGCTGATCTATATGTCGCATGATCGGCACTGCTTGATACGGTGGACACATTAGCGGCAAAAGATGCGAAATGCAGTTTCATAATACCACCATGAAGACGAGCCTTGAGGGGCACAGTTATTAAATTTGCACTACAGCTCCTTTCCGCTAAGACGCTGCTGGTGCACATTGTTTGAAACCCAACAGCCGAGACATTTGGGTGTCGGTTCACCTCCCGCATGAAAATCGAGGAATACGCATGTGTCTACGGCACTGGGAGCTGAATCGTTTACGTGACGTCTGTGTCGTGAGTTCGAAGTTCCATGGTGCTATAATCTCCGTGAACCGCATTTTGGCGCGTCGTAGTAAAGCTAAATATGCTTGCTTCAAGCACGTATTGAATAATCGAATAAAACAAGAAAGGTAACCGATTTCTTTTCGCCATACACAGGTAACATAGACATTTTTTTTCAATATTTAATGTTAAAAGCAAATTCTCACGCCAAGCTGTGCTAACATTCTTAATACTTGTTTTCAAAATCTTCCTTTTTTCACAAAAACTTTGAAAGATGTATTTGCAGATCTTCGGCCCAATCTTCAGAGATCTCCCACAACTTCGCTATATTCGAAGCCTTACGTTGTACTTTCATTTCACTCGTACCTTTCCAAAACAATGCAAGGTTTCATTGTAACTTCTTACCACTTTGTATATTGGATTAATCACGTCCGCTTGTTTTTTTGAACTCCTTATGGTTTTCTTTTGACTTTCAAAATAGGTGAGAAGAAATTATTTCTTCTGTACTCTTATGGTGAAAAAACAACAACATTGTTTTATTATATAATTCGGAGTTAGAATTTTCTCAGTAAATTTTAACAGGGACTGTTATGAAGAAATACTTTGGTTGCTTATGAAAGGGGAAGAGTTCAGTGTAAACGTGACGAAAGAGAACAAGTATGAATCGTCGTCTAAACGCAGTTCATTTATTTAGCTTATATAATTTGAACGAACTATTAGAAGTAGAGAAATCACCAAAAGTAGGAGGATCACATTACATTGTACAAATCCTTATTTAAACTAGTTCACCTAATGGAAACATTTATTTTTTTCTTTTTGTACAGTTTCTATGTGAGTTTGCAATTTTAATGATTAAACTACGAAGACGAGAGGAAGAAAAGAAGAGAAAAAAGGCGAAAAAATAATAAGTAGATTAAGAAGAAGAAATTAACTAAATGTATCAATGTCGCCCACAATGATTCTTTATTCTAGAGAAATGCGCAGTTGGTATTAGTCAAAGTAGAATGCAAATACAGTTGCAATGATAAAAAAATATGAATTTTCACATGTATAGTATGCAAAGTCATCTTTTTCGACATCCCACATAAAACGTGCCATACTGCATGCACCTTGATCCCACTTTTGACCTATATCCACCTTCACGCAGAATTTGTACCTGAAAATGAGGTAAAAATACATTACAAGAGTTTGATAACAAAATAAGCAATGATATACGCGAATTGAATATTATGAAATAGTGAAATAAAAATAGCGCTCAGAAAACACGATGCTATTTTTCAATTGTTATAACATAATGCGACATTAATAAATAATATTATTTCATGTGAAATTAGAATGTTATTCTTATTAATTTTGTTTGCAACTTTTTTCTTTCTTGGATATTTTTTGCACTTTTTATGCGTGTATGCGTTTTTTGAGGGACAACATTCTCACCGTGCTTCTCAAAAGCTCAGAATCAAAATATGGATTGTGAATAATGTAGAACGTGCAGAAAAAGTTATATTAACTCCCAAAAAATTCATTTCGCGTAAAAAATTGACTATTTTATACTGCAGTAATTTCGAAATATACTGAAATCAGACAGTAATCAATATTTGAAAGTTTACAATATAATATAATATAATATAGGAGTGAATCAATTTGAAATATCTAAAAAAATTACATTAATTAATTTTATGTTTTTTCCACATGTAACAACAGAGTCATTGAAAAAATCATTTTTCAGTTCCAGAATGTTTATGTTCAGCAATACCCAACGTGGGGACAGCGTTGAACCTTGGGACGGTTTTACCTTGGGAAAATTACAATCTACTGATATCTACTATATAATAGGGCATCAGACATTTTTTCTACTATTGTTTGTGTTTAATGATAAAGTGAGAATTACAG